AGGAAAGACAGTTCTGAAACTGCTTATGCATAGACTGTATAAAAGAACTTGTTTTCTCCCTAAAAAGAACAAACTAGATTCCTGAATGCTATCACTGCCACTTCAGGTAAATGACCTAGACAGAAGACATTCGACATGTCTATTAAGGTAAAAGAAAAGCCTGATGCCAAATTGGCATCAATATGGAATCAATATAGGGAACAATCTTTTTTTATTAAATTGGGCAGCTTCGTGCAGAAAAGCTATCCCTTAGACAGTCATTGTTGGGAAGTGCTGCCAAATTGAGGGAAATAATTCCACTGGAGTTAGGTCTTTGATCTCTTTGTCTGTTAAAAAATACATTAAACAGAAAAGAAACTAAACAGGCAAGTGTGAATGACATCCAAATTATATTACTGGAAAAATGTGTTTCTGCACTTGGGGAGAATGGCCAAATGACTCTCCAAAGGCTGTCCATGTAGGAATCAATGTAGATTTCAAAGGACCACAAGATGTTTTGTATTGTGAAAAAATAAAGTAGGTAGGTGAGGATAAAAAGAAAGCCACTTAACTTACTTCTAAGGCAGTTTCCTAACATGGAAGCTGTTTTCCATTTATGGACTGGGTCTTCATGCAGTAGCATTTCTGTACTTGCTACTTGGCTGCAGAAGCCCCGTGAGAGAGGAATGTTTACTCCCTGTCCAGCACTGCATTGAGCTTTTTGAGGATTATCTCCTTCAATCCCGGAAGGAAGAGCCTGATAGTATGAGGCAAATTCTTGAACTAATTCCTATTTCTTGGTGCTCCTGGCCTGCTGTGCCCTCAGTATGGACTGGCAGAGTGAGGGCCAACAGTCTGAGTGCCTCCCTGGTCTCCTGGCCCAGGCCACCAGTGACCTCTGCTTGAGAGACATATGAAAAGTGCTCTGGTCCTAGCAGTCTCTGGTCCATGATTGACTTGGGAGTTTAGGGAAATAAAAAGAAATTAAGATATGTGCTGAATTTATAGGGAAGCAAAGCATAATAGTAAGAGAAAAGCAACTTGGGACAAATACTAAGGAAGTTTTGAAAGTTTTCCTTCAAGAAGAGGCTTCTGTATATTCAGCTTAGGCCCACTGTATATAAGGGGATCAGGGCTTGTGGATAAAGAGAAGGTTATCTATCTGTCTGTCTCTTTGTCTGTCTTTACAAAGTGATTCCACCATTCTGTACATTACTCAGTACTCACCGTGATAACTATGGTCACCATGTATCGCTGAACAACATTATTACAGTATCATTGACCATATGTGACTTATTTATTTTATAATTAGAAGTTTGACCTCTTAATCCCCTTCACCTATTTCACCTGAGAAGGCTATCTTTAAAGCTAAAAAAATAGGACATGGTACAATGGAAAATAACTGGGTCTAGTTACGGTTTTGAGGCTAAAACATAAAATTAGAAATATGCTCTTTTTATATACTTTAAAACTGTGTATCCAAACTTGAGGTTTCAAAAGTGAGGGTTAGATTTGATTCTCAGTATGTACTTGGGGTGGGGAATAAGATGAGGCCCATTTCTGCATGTGTGAGCAAGGGTTTGAGGCTTGTCTCCGTTACATTGGTTTAAAACAAAAATGCAGGCCACGTTGGTCAGATCAGTTAAGAAAAAGGGGAGAGTAAATCTTAAATTTAAAAAGAGTAAATCTTAAATTTAAAAAATTGGTCAGTCACAATGTGTTTGACCTACGTGGCTCTTTATAAGCTTTCTAGACCATCAAGCGTTTCAAGCGGTCAAGCTGATTTATAGATCACCTCAGGGTCCCTGGTTCAGGGGTAGAGGCAGGACCAAAGGGAAATCTGTGTTTTTAGTATTTTTTGTGGTGATAGATTTTAACTAATTAGGATAATAGTAAATGAATAGTAATCCCAAGTTACTTTTTCTTTGTATCACTTGAAAGATATGTTCAAGTTTAATACAAAATGATGACTTGTTAAAGTTAGATGAGTTTTCAGGGTGAGACAACAATGCAGGTCTGGACTCTGACAATCGAATTGGTAATGTGGAACCCCCCTGTATAGGGGGGCAGCCTCCACATGCTGAGGTTTAATAGGCATTAGGGAGCTCCCCTCCACCTTGCTTATGCTGTCCTTCACGTTCTTCTTTTGGCTTACAAACATACTTATTTTCGGGGCGCCTGGGTGGCTCAGTCGGTTGAGCATCGAACTTTGGCTCAGGTCATGATCTCATAATTTGTGAGTTCGAGCCCCGCGTCGGGCTTTCTGCTGTCAGTGTGGACCTGCCTTGGATCCTCTGTCCCCCTTCCTCTCTTGGCACCCCCTCTCAAAAAGAAATGAACATTACAAAAAACAAATATGTTTGTTTTAAACATTTAAAGGCTTCCATGAACGGAAACATTTACCATTACTTTCACAGGAAAGATGGTAAATACATGACCTGCATACATTGCCTTCATGGCAGCCATTGGCCATCAACCTTAGCTTCCCTCCCCAGTGTCTCTGGTTCCAAGGGAGACTCTTTTCAGCATAATTGTCCAGGAAGCCACTTTAATTAGACTTGAACCCTATTTGGCACTCCCAATTTATATCTTATGTTAATGGTTTGTTAAATCTTTGAATCGGGGCAAATTTTGAGAGTGAGAAAGGAAAGAAAAGTATAAGGTTTCAGGATTTGAGGGGAAGACTGAGAAGTTACCACCAAGGATGGTATATAAATTTTGCCTGGAAGTTTTTAGAGGTAGAAATCCCATAATCAAATAAATACTATGTGCCACATACCTACTTCTTTTTGTGTTTGTTATGACATTTATTTTTTTACCCAGTAGCTGTGGGGTGTGGGGGTGGGAGGAAGGGAGGGGGAGAGAGAGAGAGAGAGAGAGAAAGAGAGAGAGATCTCATATCTCAGTTGTACAGTGGAGGAAACCGAGTCTCCCTGATATTAAAATGACTTGTTCAAGGGGAAAGAGCTAGTAAGGGCAGAGGTGTAACACAGATCTCCAGATTTCCTATCTGTCCAGTATACTCTGCAATTTCATACATTGTTCCCAGAGTTATATAGAGTCAAATCATTATGTGTAGTGTAAGAATCTTGTCAAGGTGGCCTGCATTTTCAGGGCTATGCCCCTTAGCAATAAGATTCAACATAAATTTGAGTGGACTAACAATGGAAACTTCCATTTGTTCAACACTGTGTTATTTCTACTGATGGACAATAATGCAGTTCCTTAGAGATTATGAATCAAGGTATTTTCCCCGTGTGGATCATATTTATTTAAAAAGAGAGAAAGCAAGTGGGCAGGGGCAGAGAGACAGGCAGAGAGAGAGAGAATTCCAAGCAGGTTCCACTGTCAGTGCAGAGCCTTTGCAGGGCTTGAACTCACGAACCATGAGATCATGACCTGAGCTGAAATCAAGAGTGGGACGCTTCACCGACTGAGCCACCCAGGTGTCCCCATTATGAGTTTTCTTTTGAGATATTTGCCTATTGCTGTTCACAATTAAATTTTCCAACTGTACATATTCATCTGATAAAATTAAGTAAATGTTTCGAGGAAAACTATTTTGTAATAAATACCTCATAGTAAATAAAGGAATAACATTTTGAGGATAAAATAATCGATGATGTTAGTAAGTACTAGTTTGAATTTAATTAATGTTATAGAGGCAATTTTTAAAGCTATTGATTAGATCAAGAATTTTACCAACTTTTATATATAACAGACATAAAACCAATTATGTACTAGATTGCTTTATACATTCCTAATAATGTGGAGCCATTCTTTTATTTTCAATTTCAGTTGACCTCATGAGAGATAGTTTCAATATTCATTTCAAATCAGGAGGAGCAAATAGTGATTCTTCTGCAATGTCATGCTACTGCTCAAGGAAGTAGTAATAAGTATCTATTTACTGAGCACCTACTGTATGCTTAACATAATATTTATTGAGCACCTACTGTATGCCTAATATTGTACTGAAGCATAGTTAGAATGCTGGAAAAGTGACCAACAGTGGTTCTTAGTGCTGCAGGTTTGCATGTCCTCCAGACCACCCTCCTGTGCACAGCCCCAGTGTACTGTCCAGCATCTCTGACATGATCTGCCAGAGCTCAAATGCATCCTCTAACGTTCTAATTAATAATAGCAATACCACCTACTAGGTAACAGGCCTCCTGCACACTTCTCAGAGATTCATTTCATCCTCTCCACAACCCTATAAAATAGATATTCAACTTAATAAAACAGAAATATGAGGCACCAGGAGGTTGAGAAACTTGACCAGGATCAAAGCTACAAAGTGGTTGGGCTAAGCTTTGAACTAGCTGATCCCACTAGGTATCAGCGTACTTAACACATACTCAGGCACCTGAGCTGGAAGCTCTTGATGTAATCCAGGTGGGAGCAAGTGAGTGTCTGAATAGAGGGAGGCAGTAGGACTGAGAAAGATGAACAGTGAAGAAGCACACCAAGAATCAGACAGCCGATTAAAGCCCAGTCAAGATTATATGTCTAAATGAATCTATTGGCATTTTAAAAGGTATTAATCTGAGCACTATTTGGGGAAAAAGGAATCAGCACATTATCACGTCAGAGCTAGGGTGACTATATCACATGACTCAAACCAGGACACTTTGGAGAGTAATGGTGGTACTATTAATAAATAGTAATTGTGGAACCATCATGGAAAAAGAATACCAATGGTCACCCTACTCATAGCCCCCAAAAGAGCTACTTTTGAAAGACTCTTGGTAGAAACCACACTTTGTGGTTTGCAGTGTTGACAAAATAATTCTGGGTGGAGGAGGATATTTTCAGGATTTGATTTCTAGCTGGGCTCCTTCCTTATGGATCATGTCCAAGGACCAGTTTCCCACCCATCTACTCTACTTGGCCCACACATGACACACACGCCACTCACACACAATCATTCGGTTGTGTAGAAGAAAAAGGATTGATTTCATTGTATTAACACATCTGGTGTCATCTCAATTGTTTACTCATTTCTGATTGCTGCCTTACAGTTGCTCCGCTCTGCTGCTGATTGGTCGGCTGGTATAAAGTACCATGAAGAGTCCATCCATACTGCTTATATCCATGTGATAGAGAACAGCAAGCACTATATCTACATAGAGGTAAGTCCTGCTCATGTAAACTAGTAGGACAACCTGCCTTCCCATAAATAGCTCACAGACACTGCAGGGTCCCCAAACTCAGGATCTGCTACATTAATCAGCCTATGTTGAGATGTGAATTCAGGTAACCTGAATTTTTACCTCCCCGGCATACCTGACATGCACTTTGTGTTTTCATTAACTCAGGACTCTAATAGGAGTCTCCCAAGTTCTTGTTATTAAAATGTATCAACTCACTATGATATTATTAGCCAGAAATACCATAACATGGATGAGTACATTTTTTACTTGTCTTGAGTTGGAGGGTCCAAGTGTAAGGCGTGTGCTGCTTCAGGAGAGCACATACAAGGGTAATTTACAAAAATGGAGACCACTGGATGCCTCTGGTTTGGCGATATTGGAATAGGGAGAGTATAAGGAAAGGAACATAGAAAAGAAAGATGTGAGAATATTGAAGGCATGTACCATTTTCTTCAATCCTCTATGAACCATTTAAAACTTTTGTCAGATGCCAGAGTTTGTGTTCAGAGAATAGGAGAAAATCTAGAGACACTGGGTTTAGATTGGGAACCTTAACTCAACTTCAAAGTAGATATAAAGCTAGCTCAGAGCATGTAGAAAATCCTGAGGAAAAAAAAAAGTCACGATAATGTAAAAGTAAGTCAGAGCACATCTTTTGTCTTTATTTTAGTCTTGTCTTTCCCATTGAACTTTTTTTTCTTTTGTAATATGTGGAGGGAGATGAGTTTCCTGGAGAAAATCATCCTAACCCTATATTCCTTCCCATTGAGTCTGGGCCTCTGCCTTCCATGCAGTGACTACTCACTAAGGGTGAGTAGGAGAGAATTAGACCTCTATTTATTTCATAGTCCTGGAGAAAGAGAAGTGATTACAAATATTAGCAGGCCAAATGCAATACAGTATTCTGGATGGGACTATGCAACAAAAAAAGGACTCTGAATATCAAAGTCTGGAGCTTTGTATTAATACTAATACAATTAGTATTATTAATTTCAACAATTATACCATAACAATATAAGATATTAATGGCTGCCTCATCCATTACCCAGAATCCTTTTGCTTTATCTCTTTTTAGTAGCATTAAGTCAGCCTTTCTTATTAATGCTACCACAGTCTTAAATGAGGTCAGTAATGCCATGTGGATACACATGGCTGTGGACACAAACCTTGTGGTTAACACCTCTAGCAGAGGTAAGTGGTTGGCATTTACCCTGCTCTCCCCAAAAAGGAAGAACAGGCCATGGCATGTGGCCATGTTTACAGCTGAGGAATGCTGAGCCTCTCTGTAATATGAATTCAGAAAAACAAACATGGTTTGGTTGCCGCTGAAATTTTTATTTGATGCCTTAAGGGGAAACGGATTCTCAAATGAATTCCCGCACAATGTCTTCTGGTAAGTTTGTCTTATGGAGGCAGTTTACAGACTTCTGTACTTAAGTATAAAAACACGTAAACTAGTAAAAGTGATGATGTTGCAAAGGGATGATAACCATAGTTTGAGTCATTGCTTATATGTCTCTTTAAGATGATTAGCAAAGATTACTTTGTGATGATTAGACTTATAAATCACAAATATATTACAACAGTGTATATAAATATGTAGTAGTGATAATATTTGTACCTAATTACTAACATCCCCTTTATGCAGCAACTAAATCTTTTATACCAATATGATGATAATGTCTTGCCCTAGTTTTTTAGTAAAAATTTTAAAGAATATTTTATAGGTAAATGAATAGTATAGATTACTTGAGCAAAAAGGAAAAATATTTCTTTTTCCGTTTTATTAGTTTATTTATATATATGAAACGTACTTGTGAAAGAGATTTGAAGCTACTTAAAATAGATGTTCGGAAATAATAAGAGAGGCAAACAAATGAGACAAGGCAAGAGAAGATACTAGGAGATAATAGAGGATGGATGGAGAAAATTAGACCAGGATTCTGCCGTCTACCCTTCTAGAAAGGTAAACTTAGCACGAAACAGAATGCTTACCAATATAGGATTTTAAATTGTGAGCATTTGCACAATACATGTATCTGTAAACCTAATATCCCTATTGATTAAATTTGGAATGTTCCTCCCTTTCTCAAAATGTAAGTGACAAAGAATTCACATGATGAAATACTAGTGCAGCCTCCCATTTGACTAAGGTATTAGATGTGGTGTTACATAGACGTGCATGAGACCCAGAGTTGAGAAGAGGCTTCTCTTATTCTCGGCATCATTTACTTTTCTAAATGATTTTAGTAATAAGAACATGTCTGCTATGTGAAAAATTTTTTGTAATATCAATGTAGTGTTCGTAATATAGCACACTGTCCATATATATATATTTACTAAGATAAGAAAGACTTATAGGATCACTCTATTTCTCGTAGAACCAGTTTTTCATAAGTTGTGCTGATGACAAAGTTGTGTTCAACAAGATAGGTGATGCCATTGCTCAGAGGATCCTGAAAGCTCACAGGTAACATTTTGGCATTTTGGTAAAAGTGGTCACTGCAAATGATTCTTGCATTTACTACTAAAATGACTTTTGAAAGCCCATTTTAAAATACTGTCTTTTCCTAGCAGGCATAAATTGGGGTCAGCTAGCAGTAGGTTATTGGTTCCTTCAGTCTGATTTCAGTGGCTGAGAATTTTGAGTCCATTTTTGAAGGAATCTGAATTCTTCCAGGGCACAGTCATTTTTTCCTGGCCAGTCTCTTTCCCACGCCGTTAGACTTGTGATTTGATTTATTTAATGGCACACAGTTACTGTGTTCACTTAAAAATCAAAGCAAAATAGTCATCATATTTTTCCATGAGTTATATTTAAATTCTGGCTACCCTCTGTCCTATTTCTTCAGCTCATGGAATTATTTTTAAAATAGCAGTGTTTTTAAGGTATGACCACACAATCCACCCACTTAAAGTGTACAATTCAGTGATTTTTAGTATACTTTTAGAATACTTAGTTTTAGAACATTTCATCACCCCAGAAAGAAACCCTTTATTTATTAGCAGTCGCTACCTAATTCCCCTTATCTTATCCCCTTGCAACCACTAAACTATTTTCTTTCCCCATAGATTTGCCTGGTCTGGGCATTTCATATTAAATGGAATCATACAGTATATGGTCTTTGTGACTGACTTCTTTCACTTAATTTAATGTTTCCAAGACTCATCTATGTTATAGAATGTTACCAGTATTTCATTTATATTTATTGCCAGGTAATATTCCATTTTCTGGATATACCACATTCTATTTATCCATTTGGGATGTTTCCACTGTTTGGCAATTGTGATTAATGCCGCTATAAACATCATGTATTAGTTTTTATGCAGATATATCTTTATTATTCTAGGGGTAGAATTGCAGGGTTATATGGAAATTCTATGCTGAACATTTTGAGAAACTGCCAGAATATTTTCAAAAACAGCTACACCATTTTATATTTCCATAGTGTATGAGGGCTCCAACTTCTGTATCACTGCCAGTAACTACTATCCTCTCTTTTTTATTATAACCATCTTAATAGGTGTGAAATGATATCTCATTGTGGGTTTGGTTTGAATTTACCTAATGACTAATGAATGATGTTGAGTATTTTTGTTTGTTAGTTGGCCATTCCGTGTATTATCTCTGGATAAATAGATATTCAGATTTCTTGGCCATTTTTTAATTAGGTTGTCTTTTTATTGTTGAGTTGTGAGAGTTCTCTTATGTATTCTAGATACAAGTGTCCTATCAGATTTATGATTTGCAAGTATTTTCTCCTATTCAGGCTGTTTTCTTTTCTACTTTCTTCATACTACCTTTTTTTTTTTCATACTACCTTTTGAAACACAAGTTTTTCATTTTGATAAAGTCTAGTTGATCTGTTTTTTCTTTTGTCACTTCTGCTTTGGTGCCAGGGCTACAAAATCACTGCGTAATCCAAGACCATGAAGACTTAACACGCCTTTTCTTCTGAGAATTTTGTAATTTTAGCCCTTACTTAGATCTTTGATTCATTTTGAGTTACTTTTCATACATGATGTGAGGTAGGGGTCCAACTTCGTTCTTTTGCACAGGAATATTCACTTGTTCCAGGGCCGTTTGTTGAAAAGACTGTTCTTTCCCCACTGAATTGTCTTGGCTCCCAGGCTACTTCTTTTTACGGCTGATTTTAATTCTGTGTAGAAGCAGCAAAATACACAGACAAACAATACCATTACATTTTATTATTTCAACTCATTAAACACAGGCAGTAGAGAATGGTAAGTACATACCCATTTGGGAATTCAAACATTTTTGTACTCTGAGCATAACATGGTACTTTAATATCCTCTTTTTAAACATAGTATGTGAGGGTTTTTAGATCTAAGAACATTTTATAACAGTAACTACCAGTATTTTATGTGATTTATGGTTTATATTTATACTGTTACTGAATCTTCACAAATACTCTTCAAAGTAGATCATATAGTCTTGTTGTTGTTATTGTTGTTGCCGTCCGCATATGTAGAGTTAAAAACTAAGATTCAAGAGGTGATGTGGCTGGACTAAGCCACTAACAACAATAGGCGAACATGGCTTTAAGCTCAAGTCTTTGGACTGCCAAGCCAGTGCCTTCTCCCATACCACGTAACTTCAGTTCATTGCCAGATAGATTTGAGACCCCCTTCAGGGTTGCCACCTAAGTGGGTTGGGCCTTTATGTCCCCTCTTCCCATTGAACCAGTCATCAGGTACAGGCCCACTCGAGGAACATGACCTTGGGTGAGGCAGGTCCCTTTGACCAAGGAGTGCAAATCCCGGAGAAGGACTTCACTGTGAGTGAGTAGCCAGCGGCCAGCACTCTCCATAAGGGAGTGCTGTCTTGAGCCCATGGTGAGGGCATTTAGGCAGCACACCACAGTACCCACCACATCCTGCAAGGTATACCATAGATCTCGCCATTTACTACACGTCAAAATCACCATTTGACTTTTACAAAAATCTAGGGAGCTGGACTCCATCCAGACTTGCTGGGTCAGAATTTCCTGGAGTGGGGCCCAGGCACTTGTATTTCATAATGGTCCACAGGTAACTCCAGGGCAAAGTCAAGACGGCTCAGTACTCACCTAGAACAGCACGTATAGCCATAAACATTGATGATGATCTGTGCTTTTACAGGTGACTTCTATCTTTTGCCTTCTCATATACTTTTTTTTTTTAAGACAGTTACCATGGCATCTGTTTCTGAGATAACTTAAAATCGGCTTGTTTACAGTTAAACGTAACCGCATACACCAAGATTTCTTGCATCGTGCCAGTCTCTCAATTCTGTGGGTCAATTTATGTCTAATTTACAAAATTAAATTATTCTGTTAACTCTTGCATTTCATTGATGCAGGGGTATCCGCTTTATCTATAAAGCACATTTGACAAAAGAGAAAAATATTTTTTCTTCATGAAATTGATATAAGTCGCAGAAATCCATTAAGTTGACAAATGAGCTCACTGGGCCGAGCAGTGAGTGGTGAATATTGTAACGGTGATCAGTTAATAAGGAGACTGGGCTGAATCTCAGCTTCACTCATCTGAGTTATTAGTTCCCTACAGTACATGTGTTAATAAGTACCTGCAAGATTTGTTTTCAAAGGCTTTGGGAGCCTGAAAGAACATTTTTCTTTACCATATTAATTTGTCTTTAAAAATCTGGACTTCTTCTAAAATCACAGTATTTCAGGACTGTAAAGAACTTGCAGTTATTTTCTGATTGACTATTTCCCAGTGATCCTATGAGCTGCTTCTGAAAGGAATGGGGATCTGTAGTGAGAGAGCATTGTAGGGTAGCATCTGCTGCAGATTGTATCTCACACTTGGAAGTTCACAGAGCACGTTAAAGATGCAATTTCAAGCCTACTCTGTAGAAAACGAGCAGCGAGTCCGTTGAATTGCATATTGTGTGTTATTTAGCTCTGATGTCTCAGTGGTCTCCCTTTCTTTGACAGTCACATTTTAAAGGGTATGGATGTTGCACATAAAATTTTTCGTGGCTATCCATATGTATCCTGGAAATATATTTTATGTTTCCCCCCTTCTCTGTATCTCCACATTATTGTTCATCTCCTGTGTTCATTGTAGCTATAGAATATGTTTTAATAATTCCAAGTCTGTGACCTTGTATTCTTAGGAAAGGGAGGGGTGGGATTAAAAGGCTCATCTTGCAGCCTGCCTGCAACGGGGCTCCCTGCTTTCACTGAGGGCCATGGTGTACCATGCCCAAGTTCACCCCCTTTCTTCCTTCATTGACTTCTCTGTGCTCCACTCTTCTGAGACTCCGAACTTCCCTGCCAAGGTCACATGCCTAGCAACAAGTATAATTTTGGCTGTTGGAAAAAGAATAGAATAAAGCACAAAGCAGATGGAGGGAAATGACAGTCAGCATTCAGCCAGGCCTGACCAAGGAACACAGGCTCTCTTCCAGGTCCCTCCCACCCTGGAAAGATCAGAGTCTTTGAATTGCCAACTCCCTCAACTGAGCTGAGACTTTATTTTTCTGCCAGTGCTGGACTCCAGGGAACACCAATTCCCTGTTGTGAGTTCTCTGCTTTCCTCACTTCCTCCTGGTTCCTTCCCAACAGCCATAATTCTTTGCAGAAATAGGTTTTTGCAAAGCTTTCACGCTCTGATCCATGACCTAGAGCCTCAGAACATTGCTCATTCCATGGTGAACTGAGAGTAGCTATGGGAATCTCTGCAGAAATCAAAAGGTCTGCTCTAATTAGTAAAACTGTCTTGGCTCCCAACCCGCTGGAAGCCCGTCTTTAACAACTCAAATCTGACTGGAGGTCAGGGAGAAGAAATCATTATCCGTTGTCTAAAGTCAACGGGTTTATGCCATATTTGAAGAAGCCAAGAGAAAGAGCTGGAACTGACTGATCCAGGTAGAAATTTTACGTGCCCTGAATGAATTGTTCCTGAGGATGAAACAGTTTTGCTTACGGAAACTTGACATGCATAATCCTGCTGCCTTGACAAACAGGAAGCGAGGGAATGCATTTTGCACTGTTATCAACAGAGTTGATACATACAGTGAAGACAGGCAATGGATTTAACGCCTCAGCATTTTCATATTAAACTGCAGTGAGAGATGCAATCTTACACTACGTTGAAAAATACCCAATTTTGAAAACTTTTCAAATTCTTCATGCTTCCTCTAACTGTAGAGTAGTGCCAGATAGTGCTTGCAGTTTGCCCATGAGTGAGTGGTATGGAAAATGTTCCTCTGGGGAATCTGAAATTATTTGGGGACCAGGTGTCTTAGGACTTGGCTTCTTTTCAACTCTGTTGTCTCCAGGTATGTGACCTTTTGAGCAATGTCCGTTTAACTTCCGGACGCTCTGTTCTTTTCACTAACAAAGAAAACAATACCTGTTCTGCCCAGCTTTGAAAACCATAGCACATCAATTTGTGGAAGAAACTCTTACATTATTTCCAGGAAATTCATCTTCTGGA